GAAATCCCAGATGCAGAGAGAGCGAGTGATTGGTTGGGAGAAGTCAGTGTCAGAGGGAGACAGAGTGCCCCTTCTGCTCTGCCCCATGCTGTGGGCTGAGAGGAGGCAGGATGTGAGGAGACCAGGCCCTACCCTCTCCAGGAATTGTTGCGCTGAGTCCAAAGCACCAAACAGCTAACAGCCAAGCTGCGTTACTTGATCACCTAGTGGTGCACTTGAAAAGTTAGTTCTCTGTTTCAGCCTTACTGCTTCCTCATCTGTAAAGTGGAGATATCAGGAAGCCACTCCACAGGTGAGTGGGGACCTGGTCTGTTACAGTCCCTGGACCTGGCTCCCATGCACTGAACATTGTCTCTGCCCTTAGTTTTCAGGTGGTTGACCTGGAAGGCAGTTTGAATGCTCCTGCAGCATGCTCCTTCTCCCGCTCTGATCTTCCACCACTGGCCGTGGTGGCCCCTCATCAGTCTCTTCCCCAGTGCACACTACCCTAAAAGTAGTTCTCGTTGCTAGGGGGTGTGCGGAAGGTCTCAGCCCCAGGCCAGCTGTTGGCCCCTCCTCTCTAGGCATTATCTGTTCCAAGAGTCACAAGAATCGTGATTAAGACCCCTGCTAGCGCCTCTAGACCTTCCTGGCAATGCCCACAGGCCAGAGTGTAGGATTCTGGCTGCACTGGCCCACGGGCCCACGGGCCCTGGACGGACAGATCAGTAGGGGAGGAGTCGTACTACAAAAACTGCAGCTGTCGGGCTGGCGGGGGTGAGACTGCCACAGAGAACCAGCCTTGATGCCTGATTTGAAAGGCAGAGTTCTGTGAGGACTCTTCTGTGGAGAGTGCCCAGACTGGCACCTAAATGTGGCCAGGGGCGTTTGATAAAAGTTCCTGTGAGTCTGTTAAACCACTCTGGTGAGTCTCTATAAAGCACAATGATGGCAAAGAGAAATTTCTTCCTGCTGCCTCTTTCTACCTTTCTTTCTGATCATCCATCTCATGCTGTGAGATTATCCAGTCAGACAGGGGTTTGCACATGAGGTGCATGTGGTTTGATCTAAAATACTCATTTATTCATATCTCACCTTTTTGAGGGGAGATCAGGGTAGGAGGGCGGCAGCATTTCCATCAATCTGATCCATCCCGTTCCCATTAGTAAAGCCCCAGGGAAGCATCATCTTTTCCAGTTGGTGGTAATGAACTTTTGCTAGGTACCTAAAACAGCAGTATAGCAGGTGGTTAGTGTGTGGCCTATGGAGCCTGGGTGCCTGGGTTTGAGTCCTGGCTCTCCCACCTGCACTGTAACTTATTTTCTCTGTGCCTCAGTCTCCTCAGCTGTCAGATGGAGATGATGCTGGTAGTTACCTCATAGAGGGACAAGTGAGTTCCATGTGTGGAACAATGGTGGCCGACCTATGGGGAGCCCTCCACAAGCACCAGCTACCGCAGTGGTGTGCTGCAGATACTAAAGTGACTGCCCCTGAGGGGCTTTGGCAGGGATCAGATGCAGAAATGTCACTTCCATGTAGCATGGTAACTACTAGGAATGACAGGAGTCCAGAGGAAGGGTCCTTGCTGTTAGGGATCAGAAGGGAGTCACTGCAGACTTCCCAGAGAGAAGATTCTGGAGCCTGAGGTATAAAGGGAGTTAGGCAGATAGAGGGAAGGCAAAGCAGAAGATTCTCATCAGAGAGAACAGTATAATGTTTGCACGGATACTGCAGGTCATTTTGGACTACTAGAATGAGGGAGTGACCAGTAGATTCCTTAATTGATTTTTTCATTCACTCAGTCCTTGACTGAGCACCTGTTCATTGTCAGGCTGGGTACTAAGTGTAGAGTAGAGCAAAACACATCTGAATGGAGGCTACTTAGTCATTTCTGTCAGGAGGTAGTCACCAGAATCGCAAGAAGACTGCTGTTATTTATTGAGGGCAGTGTAGTGGTATAGCACAATACAGAGCTGTCCTGCTAGGGTCAGATTCTGCCACCTCCACTTGGTCCCCTGTGGCTTGGGCAACTGGATGCCTCAGGTACTGGATGCTCAGGTATCTGTCAGTTGTGGTGGTGGCAGTGCCTGCTCAGGGCTGCTCTGAGGATTAGATGGGCTTCAGAACAGAGCCTGCACACACGCTTGCTGAGGACTCACTGGGACATGCCAAGGAACGTGTACACTACTTTGAGCCTCTTCTCCCCTCATCTCTTCTTTTTCCCAGCTGAGTGCATATCCTTTAGCTCCTGTTAAATGTTCCTTCCTCATAGAACTTTGTCCTGGATCCCCCAACCAGCTCCACTTCTGCCTCCCTTGGTGTCCTGGCCCTCTTTGTCATACAAGTCCTCGCGCTTGGGAGGACTGTTCTCCCTTTGTTTTCCCCACTGGAGTGCCTGTAACTATCAGGACGGTGAGGTCTGGCTTACTCATGTCCTTTCACAGACAGCATGTGGTTAATGCTCACTAAATGTATTGAATGAACAGATGAAAATTAAAGATCACTTAGTAAGCATGCTACTATTTTAAGTCTCTTTTTCTGAATTTGGTTATATGGTCAATGGTTTAATATTTCAAGTGTTCTGACCACATAATGGTTTTTACTTTACTCTGAAGGTAGCTGGGTGTTCAAGGTGATTGCTGCCCACAGAGGAACTAGAAGTGCTTACTGCACTTGCGTTTTCTGGAATGAAAGTTATAGTTCGTTCCCAGTAGCTCCTCAGTAGGGGCTTTAAAGCTGATGTTAAGCAGCAGATGTGCAGGATTCTCACAGGGAGTACTTGAGCATTAAAGATGGTGTGTCATCATGCACATTTCATTAATTTCAGCATTCTTACCCAGCACAATAAATTGTCAGAGCCATCCTCCAGTAAAATCCACAAACCAGTCAGCCTGTAGGAAACAGGTTGGAGATCTAGAAGTGCCCCTCCAGGTGTTTGCAACATTTTTTAAGAGATCCTTACAAAATCTTTGTGATTTAAAAGGCAGCTTCCTCTGCCGTGGAGTCTCTCTCCAGCGCTCTTGCTTCTGAGGTTGGTAGCTTTCAGAAAGACTGCAATGCAGCGGTTACCAAAGTCTCTGTTAACATGGAAACAACTGGTGGTGAAATCTTTTGCTCCCCTTCACAGCCGCCGACTGTGGCCTGCAATCTGAAGGAGGAGATATTGAAGGTAATACTCCCCTGGACTTAGCTGTTTAGTGATAGGAACGGAAGCGATTTTTGTGAAAGCTGTGGCTAGCACAGGCATGTCCTGCAGCAGCTCTCTTAAGTTACTGATGCAGTGGGCTTCCTGGGAATGTGAGATTGAAGATGCCTTTGCAGTTTATGCACGGTAATTTTGTTTTCTTCTCTGTGTTCAGATGATGGATTATGAGAAGGTAAGGGACTTTAAAAATCATGCTTAATATGTATTAAATGTTTAAGAATATCCCTAGTGAAGATGAAGCATTATGATTGACTAGCTCTTTTCTGAACCTAAGAAATAAAAGTTTAATTTCTTGTTAAGGACAGTTTGGACATTTGAACAGTTATCTTATTTAGTGTTGACAAATGCCTTCTAAATAAATTATTGATTAAAGAGATCTGCTTTTTCTTTGGCTTGCTAAACATAGATTCCAGAGATGTAGATATGGACGTAATATATTTGTTTCTTTAACTTAAGCAATGACAGTTTTATTAATCTGGCATGGAACATTTTGTTTTACAAAATCTCCACCACATGGTGGTGGGTGATGAAATCTGATTTCCTTAGTTCTTATTTGCCTTCAGATGAGCGTTCTCGGATGTGTGGAGTGCTGTGCCGATCCTGGGGTGAGTTGGGTACTACCTCCAGCTGCTCCTCTTTGTTGATCAAAGAGGGAGGCTGAGAGTCAGAACTCAGATTTATTTTGCTATGAATTGGTGGCCTCAAACGGTATTAAATGCATTATGGGTGGTAATTTATATGTCCAACGCCGAGAAATATAATGTCAGGGTTACCGTGGCAACTGCATGCTTTCTGAAAAGCTTATGAATGGGTTCTGAACCTTGTGGCGTTTTAAGGGAGATGTTCCAGCTGAGAGCCTGCATTCATGATTAGTGTAAATAAATTCAGCTTTCCGTGTGCAGTACATCCTTTCTCTTCATTTACCAGAGTTGTCCATTCAGCTCAGTTCTTTCTCTTGTGACATCTGCCTTGGTCTCTTGGTTCCTTGCAACAGACTATGGTTGAGAGAGAGTTTTGTACTTCAGGTTGGGGAACTAGCCTGTGTGTGTGCAATATCCCAATACCTCAGTCTGTGGGTGGTGTAGACTGGGCTGGCACGTCCATGCCTCCTGAGGGCTGGCAGTCCTCGACATCCCCAAAGCATAGTTTCAGCCCTTTGTGCTGGTGTGGTTTTGGCAGAGCTTTCTATCCATCTGAAGAGCTTCTTTCCAGTAACATACCTCAGAGCTCTCTAAGAGAGCTTGACTTCAGGGAGGCAGCTCTGCCCATTTCTGTTTCCAGGATATCATGATGGTTGGTTTTGGAGAGGGAGGCCCAAGTTAGAAAGACCCACGTTCAAAATGCCACACTTGTGGAAATAATAAACAAAGGTGTTATCTTCATTACCAAAGGATTGTTTGCTGTTTGTTAGAAATGTATGTAGCATAGTTTCTTTGAAAACCAGTTGCCCTTGTGCATTTAAACTATATCAATATCTTGATTCCATAGGTCTGAAATATCTGCTTGTTAATATTTTGTAAAAGGCATCTAGACAGCCTGGCTGCCTGGGGAGCCTGTGGTCTGAGCTGCCCTGGGGACAATGATGGCTGCTGAGGCGAGAGCTCCTAAGGGAGGGCCCGGCCAGCTTCCTCGAGAACATTTCACATTTGTGTAGAATTCATTCTCTTTGTTAATAAACATTCTGATCATATAGTGTAGACTTTAAACTTGAAGGTAGAGTTAACTTTTCAGGCTCACAAGAGTGGGCATATCACCGTGACTCACCTACAGGCCTCTGTTAAGAATCTTCATCTAATTTATTCCCTTTATTTTACAGATGATGAAACTGAGGCCCAAAGAAGTTATGCCACTTGGTTAAGGTTCCAAAGCAGATCAGAACGAGATCTAGGATCAGCAACCTGGCTCCTGGCTCTCTATTCTCCTAAGGATCGCTTTCCTGACAGAAGAGGTTTGCTCTCAGTTAATTGTTTTTGCTTTCCTTTTATCAAATAGAAGCCTATCATGGGCTGGCCCAGTGGCATAGTCATTAAGTTCTAGAGCTCTGCTTTGGCAGCCTGGGGTTCGCAGGTTTGGATCCTGGGCGCAGACCTAGCACTGCTCATCAAGCCACGCTGTGGTGGCATCCCACATAAAGTAGCGGAAGATTGGCACAGATGTTAGCTCAGGACCAATCTTCTTCACACACACAAAGAGAGAAGCCTATCATAATAATGGGCATAGAGCTTTCTAACTCGTATTTTAAAAAATTCCTACGTTTTCTTTCTTCTTTCTTCCATCATTTATTGAACTTCTACTCAGTGTGCTGGAGACTTCCACAGAGGAGGGGAAGGCATGCCCTCTGCCCCTCGGGCCACGCACATGCTGCAATGAGAGATCGGTGCCCTGGGCACCAGAGCACACAGCCTGAGTGTCGAGATAAATTCTGGCTCGACAGCTACACTTCTACCTGTTTGTGGTATTTTTCAGAGGAGCTAAGTGCCCCGTGGACACCGGGGGTGAACCTGAATCATCGCCTATTAAATCAAGGTCACAATACTGTATTTACTAAGGCAAAACAACATAATGCTGTTAGGTGCAACCTACAGGTTACAACTTACTTATTACAAGTAGTAAGAGGTTCGGCTTACAAGGCTTGAAATACAATATTTTTAGCCAGATGCCAGTTAACCTAGATTTTTAATTTGCCACTCTTCAAGAATATTGAGATTTTATTGTCGAACTTACTCAGGGTAACAGATTGTATTTTCCTAAATGGCCTCAATGGTATCTCCCATCCTGTGTATCCTTCTCACAATGGGACTTTGACCAGGAGGTAGGAATCTCTGTTCCTTCCCTGTGAACCTCGGCCAGATCTGTGACCTGCTTCATCCGGTAGTATGGCAGAAGTGATGCTTGTGACTTCCAAGCTAGGTCTTAAAAAGGGTACAGTTTTTGCCTGGCTTCTCTCTTTTGGATACTTGCTCTGGGCCAAGACATCTACTTTGCTGTGAAGAAGCCCAACTAGCTCATGCAGGAAGACCACATGGCAAGGCCCTCAAGGAGCCATTCTGAGCAGCCGCCTGGCATGTGAGTAAATGGCTTGTCAAATGATTCTGGCTTTGCACTTTTCTCGCCTTCCAACTGAGACCCCAGACACTGTGGAGCAGAGATGTGCTGTCAACACTGTACCCTGTCCAGAGCCCCAACCCACAGAAGCTGTGAACATGACAAGTGGTGGTTTATGTCACTCCATTTTGGGGTAATTTATCATGAAGACTAGAATCCTTAGTGTATTCATTCACCATTATTAGATATGGCATTTTATTACATGTCAGAGATAGAAAGCATAAGAAATTCGTGGGTTTTTTCATAATTAACCTTAAAACATTTTTTTTAATAATAGATTTTTTGAGGTAATTTTCATACCATAGACTCCACCCTGTTATAGAGTACAATTCAGTAATTTTTAGTGTATTCCCAGTTGTGCATCCAGAACATTTTAGTCACCGAAATTGTGATCAGACTCTTATCTAAGTTACTCAATAGACAAATACAAATGAAAGATTAGGATTACTGTACGTTACGTTAAACTGTGGTGCTGTGTGTCTCGGATTTAGTAGGCACATGGGCCATGTTTGTTCAAATACATTAATTCAGATTGAAGAGCGATGATGGTAACCTGACAGGTTGAAGTTGGGTTTGGCTGAGCACTTCTGAAGCACCTGTTACGTGTGTGGGAGTTCATGTTGAATCTTTGATGAGAGGTGGGCTTTAAACTGGGTTTTCATGCAAAGGGAAGTAAGGAAAGGGTTTGAGGGACAGAGACCATGCTACAAGTAGGAAGAACATCTCTAGACAGGTCTCCCTGTTGGATGATAATGGAACACAAGGGTGTTTGGTGAACAGTAGACAAATTCAGGTGCTTGACAAGCCTATGCATTCTCCCCTTGCCATGCATTCCTGCTTACACTCTGCCTGCCCTCCTGCAGCACATGCCGTTTCATTTCTATACACACACATGCAGAAGTGGACATCATGGGCAGAAGCAAAGGCATGGCACAAAGAGGAAGGGACTGCTAGCAACCTAGATCGGGGTCAGCACACTTCTTCTGTAAAGGGCTATATAGTAAATGTTTTAGGCTTTGTGGGCCAATCTTGTGTCTCCTCTATTGTAGACAATATGTAAACCAGTGAGCATGACTGTGTTCCACTAAAACTAGTTACAAAATGGTGGGCCGTAGTTTGCCAGCCCTTGGCCTGGATGAGGACATCTGTGCCAGCTGCCTGGTCTTTGGTCCTGACACAGATGCGGCTTGTGCTGCCTGTGTCCTGCTCAGGTTATGAGGCAGTTAGGACATTCTTATAGTATTGAGCCCCTGCCCACTCCCCTACACTGGATGCTCCATGAGGGCAAGAGGCACATTTCTCGTTCGTTGGAGCTCCAACTCAGTACGTAACAGGAGCCTAGTAAATGTCTGAATAACTTGGAGCCCCTGAAAAGTGATAGGGCCATTGCCGATTTGGGGATGGTGGGCAAAGGTGACAGAAGGAATAAGGCCAGTAGGCAGGTCTAGTAGCATCTGGTTCCTGTTGCTCAGTAGACATGATAAAGTATGGGGAAATCTTGAAGTGTGAGCACGAGATGGAGATGACAGTCTTTTGGCCCTATATAAAGTTTCCCTTTGGCTCTGTATAAAGAGCCCAGGACAAATGTGGTGTTAATACTTAGGTTAGAGAGAATTAAATTACCTCTCTCAAAGGAGAACTGCATCAAGAGTCTTGGAAGTAACCTTTCAGGTTGCAAAAGATTTCTGCTTTTAGATCTTGGGGGACACTGATTTTTCTTGATATGAGAAATCATGTAACCTAGGTGCTCTGCCTAAGAGTCTAACTTAATCAGGCCTGTAAAGCAAGTGCCGTAGCAAACTGCATGGTGTTGAGTTCCCTAGGTAGTTTAGATGAGATGAAACCCCAAAGGGAAAAAACAACACCTTCTTTGCCTGTTCCCTACTGTTCAAGTCCAGATGAAGGAGCGTTCACTAATTTATGGTAAGTGAATCAGGTATTGGTATTAGAAGCATGTGATAAACTAAAATTGAGTTCAACAGTATAATCTCATTAAAATTGTTCTTTGGGTTAGAAGAATAAAGATTACTTTAATTGAAGGAGGACAGTATCTTGACTTGTCAAAAAAATAATATTCAATTAAAAATGACCAATTTTCATGCTTAGATAAGTCCTGTATATGTTACAAAATGGCATTTCACAGACAAATTCATTAATTAGGATTATTTTGCAGGGGTCTTCAGACCCTCAGGTTGGAGTAAGCATGCTTCCCTGGCAGCTTGTGCTCAGCCATAAGACATCTACATCATGAGGTGACTTCTGTTTTCTGAGCGACTCTCTATTGCATTGAAACTGTCCCTGAATGCAGCAGATGGAGTTGGAACATTTTACAAAGAAGGGGTTAGGATGGGGTTTGCCACACCATGAGGAGATACCTCTTCGATATTCTAGACTGTTGAAGACATAGATTGTGAAATGTTAAAACCTCGGGAAATAATCTTGCTCAGTTCCCTGTACCCAGCCCTCTGATTCACTGAAACGCAACCCCAGGGCGTGGAGGGGAGTGTCAGAGCCTAGGGCCAGGGACTCCTCTGCAGCTCTCCTGGGTGCACCTGGCCTGCCTTGTCTTTCTTATTGGCATGGGGCTGTCTGCTGCCCTTTGCTGGGATGACCACCTTCCTCTGACCTCAGCCAAGGGTCTTGTTGCCCAGAGTCAGGGAGTCTTTCTTTAACTCACAACCCACTGTCTCTAGAACATTGTTTCCCTTTTTATTCTGCCTAGGATTTTGAAAGTGTCTAGTAGTACTAGACAGTGTTGTCATTCATCCTTATGAGCTGTATGGTTTATTATAGCTTGTAGCTACAAATCTTGTAAAACAAATTCATTTCCTACATCCAGATTTGCTCATCTAAAAATTCTATTTATAATATTAGTTTAGAACAAGGCTTCTATTATGAGTCGTTGAGAAACAGCTCCTGTATCCCCTTTGGTAAAGATATTTTGAAATGTAATTTAATGCCTGGAAGTGAATTACTATGGAGGTTTAGTTTGTTGCTTAGAAAAGAAGTGTGAGGAGAAAAGTATCTTTTTTTTTTTTTTTTGAGGAAGATTAGCCCTGAGCTAACATCTGCTGCCAATCTTCCTCTTTTTGCTGAGGAACATTGGCCCTGAGCTAACATTCGTGCCCATTTTCCTCTATTTTATATGTGGGATGCCTGCCACAGCATGGCTTGGTGAGTGATGCGTAGGTCCATGCCCATGATCCGAACCGGGAAACCCCAGGCTGCTGAAGTGGAACCTGCAGACTTAACTGCTGAGCCACCAGGCTGGCCCTAAAAAGTATCTTTTTAACAAATACATTTTCTAATCTCTGGCCAGCAACCCAGTCATTTAATTAATATTTATCAAGCACTAATATTTATCAATGTAATATATTATAGTTATTTTATATGTATATCCTTGTGCTTGATGTATGTATGCCTGTATATATATACACTAATTAATATCAAGCAGGAGTATAGCAAAAAGTTTGGTAGGATTATAATGGGATTTTTTTCCTATATAACCTATAAAATGAGATATTGATGTTCAGTACTGAGCCACTTTTTAAACACTTGATTTTTCTTGTTGTATTTACCTATGTTTATAATTTTGAAATCGGAGAATTCTAGAAATAGTTAATTTCTACTGATCCTTTAGATCATGACTTAAACATCCTCTTCTCAGGGAGACCTTCTCTGTACCAACATACATGTTGTCACTGATGTGTTCGTCATGTGCTTCCCTTCTGTAGTTTTCATATCACACACATGTGCGTGCGCACACACACACACACACACACACACACAGTTACTTGTGCTGTGTCCCCTTCCCCATAGGCACTCAGCTCTGTAAGGCAGGGC